GGGAGACCGAGTGAAGAGGAAGGCGGTCAGGAGGCCCCACAGAGGTCCAGCCACAGGGTGTGGGGGGCCTGCATCGGGGTGTTGGCCGTGGAAGTGAGAGCTGGGAGCTGAGTCAAGATTTGTTGGGACCTGAACTGAAAGACCTTGGTCATTGATTGACGGTGGGAGTGATGAATCCACATATGATGCAGGAAAACTGGAAGAGAACCACGATTTTAGGAGTTGAGAGCGAGGTCATTCCAAGTTCAACTCTTTTTAAAAAACTATGTTTTTATTGATTTCAGAGATGAAGGGAGAGGGAGAGAGAGAAAGAATTATGGACCGGCTGCCTCCTGCACAACCCCTACTGGGGATCGAGCCCACAACCCGGGCATGTGCCCTTGACTGGAATTGAACCCAGGAACCTTCAGTCCACGGCCAATGCTCTATCCACTGAGCCAAACCGGCCAGGGCCCAGGTTCAACTATTGAGAATGTTGACAGTGAAGTGTGTCTAGACTGAGCGTCACCCAGGCGGTTGACTGTGAGTCTGGCGTAGAGGTGAGGCCTGGACCGAGGACAACACAGGAGTCACTGTGCAGAAGGTTACTGCCCACCGTGGCCTGCAAGCAGGTGAGAAGACCCGGGGAGAACGGCGGCCGCCAAGGAGAGAAGCTGCCTGTCCTGCCCTTGACCTGAGAACTCACGGAGCCTCGGGCGCCCCCCCGGCAGAGTTCAGGGGCGACGGCCCTCGGTGAGGCTGGCCGGGCACGGGCACAGCTCTAGGGGTAGGGCACCACCCAGAGCAGGGCTCAGGGTCTGCGGGTGAATGGGGTGGTGGCTGGGAAAGGGCTCGAGCAGGTGACAAATGCCGTGAGTCACGATGCGGGGTGCACAGGACACGGATTCCCAGAGCCCCTGGCCCATCAGGGAGCTCAGGTGGAAGGCCGTGCTGTCCCTGTTCTGATCCGACGTGCACGTATGAGTGAGGCCCCCGGTGCCTCAGTGCCGTGCATGTGCACAGCCAAGGCCTCCGTTCAGACCCGGGTGATGGAGGAGCTGCAGGCAGGCCTGCTCGGTTCCCAGCATCCTTCAGGCACAGCCCACGGCACATTCAAGTCCCGGGCTCTTCAGACCTTCCTCCTGTCACCCGATTTCTCTGCACGGTGACCCCCTGCGGGTGGTGGGTCAGGACTGGCTTCCCTCGGGCAGCCGCTGAGGGAGGGAAGCCCCGAGAGACCTAGGGGGGCGCCGGGTTCCTGCATAAAGGCCCTGCGGCCCTGGGCCCCCTCTCAGCTCCAGAAGCTGAGACAGTCTCACCGGCATCCGGTGTTTTAACCGAACAGTGGCCAACGAAACGCCCGTCAAGGATGTGGGGCCCTGGACGCAGAGCGGCAGGAACCCGGCTGGGATCACCCTCTGTCCACGCAACAGGGAGAATGAGCGGCGCTGCCCTTCCCGCACTGAGAACCTCCAGCTGCTGACTCGGGAGTCCTGGCTGCGCACGCCTCTGCTTCACAGAAGCTGAAAAATCGCTTGTTATTAATTTGCGTAAAAGCTTCCAGCTCCAGAACGCAACTACAAAGCTATTTTTGCAAAGCGAATTGGAATCCTCAGCTCTTGCTTTCGAACGACAAGCCATTCATCAGCGGCCGTAAGCAGGGAGCTGAGGATGTCTTACCTTCCATTGTCCCCGTGCGATAAACACAGCGCGGCTTAGCGAGTCTCTCCGGCTCCCTGCACACTCCTCTATGAAACCACCCACACAGCCCGGTTCCAGACAAGCAGGCAATCCCACCGCCCTTCGGGAAGATCCCCGTTCGCAGCCCATATTTATTACCCACTCTCTTCTGTCAGTCAACAAGCATGCATTCGGCTTCTGTGCAAGCTCAGCGCCCTAGTGGGTAGTGAGTGGAGACACCCAACCTATTTAGCCCTCACTGGGTGCCCGGCCCCCGAAGGCGTACGCTCCACCTGAAAGCGGTGGCCTCACGCCAGAGCCCACGACAGTGGAGAGCGTGTTCTATGCTTGGGTGGCACTGTCCTTGGGCATTCCGAGACAGCCCGTCGAGGATGTGGGGCCCTGGGCGCAGAGCGGCAGGAACCCAGCTGGGATCACCCTCCGTCCACGCAACAGGGAGAATGAGCGGCGCTGCCCTTCCCGCACCGCAAGGGCCTCCCGCTGCTGACTCGGGAGTCCTGGCTGCGCACACCTCTGCTCCACAGAAGCTGAAAAATCGCCTGTTATTAATTTGCGTAAAAGTTTCCAGCTCCGGAACGCGACTACAAAGCTATTTTTGCAAAGCGAATTGGAATCCTCAGCTCTTGCTTTCGAACGACAAGCCATTCATCAGCGGCCGTAAGCAGGGAGCTGAGGATGTCTTACCTTCCATTGTCCCCGTGCGATAAACACAGCGCGGCTTAGCGAGTCTCTCCGGCTCCCTGCACACTCCTCTATGAAACCACCCACACAGCCCGGTTCCAGACAAGCAGGCAATTCCACCGCCCTTCGGGAAGATCCCCGTTCGCAGCCCATATTTATTACCCACTCTCTTCTGTCAGTCAACAAGCATGCATTCGGCTTCTGTGCAAGCTCAGCGCCCTAGTGGGTAGTGAGTGGAGACACCCAACCTATTTAGCCCTCACTGGGTGCCCAGCCCCCAAAGGCGTACGCTCCACCTGAAAGCGGTTGAGAACCTCCAGCTGCTGACTCGGGAGTCCTGGCTGCGCACGCCTCTGCTTCACAGAAGCTGAAAAATCGCTTGTTATTAATTTGCGTAAAAGCTTCCAGCTCCAGAACGCAACTACAAAGCTATTTTTGCAAAGCGAATTGGAATCCTCAGCTCTTGCTTTCGAACGACAAGCCATTCATCAGCGGCCGTAAGCAGGGAGCTGAGGATGTCTTACCTTCCATTGTCCCCGTGCGATAAACACAGCGCGGCTTAGCGAGTCTCTCCGGCTCCCTGCACACTCCTCTATGAAACCACCCACACAGCCCGGTTCCAGACAAGCAGGCAATTCCACCGCCCTTCGGGAAGATCCCCGTTCGCAGCCCATATTTATTACCCACTCTCTTCTGTCAGTCAACAAGCATGCATTCGGCTTCTGTGCAAGCTCAGCGCCCTAGTGGGTAGTGAGTGGAGACACCCAACCTATTTAGCCCTCACTGGGTGCCCAGCCCCCAAAGGCGTACGCTCCACCTGAAAGCGGTGGCCTCACGCCAGAGCCCACGACAGTGGAGAGCGTGTTCTATGCTTGGGTGGCACTGTCCTTGGGCATTCCGAGACAGACCAGGGGGAGGGGGGACGGGGGATGGGCGACTGCGTAGGAGAGAAGGGGAGGAGGTACGGTTCAGGTAAGAGGACCATACCTGTGTCTGGATGTTTTTCTTTGTGTGTGTGTGTTTTTTGAAAAGATAAGTGTTCTTTTATTTTTTAAAATATATTTTTATTGATTCCAGAGAGAAAGGGAGAGATAGAAACATCAATAATGAGAGAGAATCATTGATCAGTGCCTCCTGCACACCCCACACTAGGGCTCAAGCCCGAAATCGGGGCATGTTCAAAACAAAGTGGGAATTCTCAGCTTTTTGCTTTTGAAGGACTAAAGCCACTCCTGACCGGGAATTAAACCAGTGACTTCTTGGTTCATGGGTTGGCGCTCAACCACTGGGCCACACCGGCCGGGCCCTGTGTCTGCTTTGAGGACCATGTTGAGGACCATGAGTCGCCTAGATTGACTCAGAAAGGCAGACAATAGGGAGGCGTTAGAGGTTCGTATACGCGATGAAGGAGGCTGAAAGGGAGCAGGGAACTAGACTTGAGTCCTGACAAAGGATGTACGAGAGATGCTAATACTGACCCCCAGGAGGCAACTGCAATGCGAGCCTCTAAGGTGGGCAACGCTAGCTTAGGAGTCAAGGAATTAGGAATACCAGCAGGCGAACATCCTTTGTCCCTTAATGTGAGTCAGTCAGAAACAACAACAAAAAGTAAAACCAGAAAAAAGTATCTTCAGTGAAACGAAATCTCTTCCATTGAGGGCAGAGTCGTGATTTCAAAAGGCGGAGAATCACTGTCCTATTTTTTGTTGTTTTGAGGATAAGAAAGTGGACAGAAAAGGGTGGACTCAAAACATGTCATTTCTGCTTGGGTTCATCCTGCTCCTGTTCAGCCCAGAGTCCATGTGAGGTTGAGCATCAGGAGGACCTGAGCTGTGCCTTCGTAACGAGGAACATCTCCATCAAACACGACCGAATCTGACAAGCTGCGGGCGGGCGCTGCATCCGAGGCCTCACACCCCTCAGGCTCAGAAGACAAATGCGTCTACATACCAACCCCCGTGACCCTACCTCCTGACGCTGGCTCACAGGTACTTAACCCGAATCGCCACTTCCGCCTGCCGTGCAGCTCACTGCACCGAGCGCACAAGTTGGGGGACCCCACGCCCACCTCACCTGTCCCTCTCCACATACGGAACGTGCAGGGTGGGCACGGGCGGGGAGTGACTGACGTTACGGAGTTTCCTCCCTTCCCACTGACTTAGGGAGAAGCTTCGTGGGTCCCCGTGTGCTGTTCATAAGACGGCCCCATACCACCGAGGGCCAGGGCTGTTGCAGAGTGGGCGTGGGCTACGGGAACCCGATGTCCTTGCAAGAAAACAAATCCATGGCATTTAAGTGTTTACGTCCTGCTTTTATCAGCTTGCTTAAGGAAATGTGGTAGGTACCCAAATGAGTGTGATGGGAGGCACCACTGCGTCTCTCCCACCCCCTCTCCAGATTTAGTAAATTAAAATGGTCAGGAGTCGGTATTGGGAACATGAGAACAAAGAATGTGCCAGATAAAACCATTAACTCGGAAATAAAATTCAGTAATATTTAATTTCATTTTTACTAATACAAACTAGGTAAACCACCCATACTTCTCAATAATCTTACACATGCCCTCTCTTTAGTAAGAACTCAACAAAAACGTTTCATCAGGCATATCGGTGTTTGCAATACAAACGGACAAGTCTTACACATGTTTGATCAGATTTATTACTGTATTTTAGTCCAACCGCTACAGTTGCGACAAATACAAAACCATCGTCACGTTTCCAAGGTAAAAACTGTAGAGCAGCTCTGTATCCTACAATGTTACCACTACTACAGCTTCCGAACATCAAGACGTCAGCTGGCCGACGCGCTTGACGATGCATTTGAATCCCGGCAGCGTGACACGCCCCTGAACAGCGCCGCTCCAGCCGCATTCGTCCCAGTGCGCCGAGTGGCACATGCACTTTAGTGGCGGCCAGTGGGGAGCGATGATTACTTCTGATGAGCAATTGATCACAGAACATGCAGTGGTGACCCTGCCATCGTCTACTATTCCTACTGTTCACTAAAGGTCACGGCTAGCTGGCGTGACCACGAGGACTTTCTCGCTTGCCTGACAGCATGTCCTACCATTCGCTTGGCGGTGGCAGCAAGAGGCCCAGTCCCTGTGGGAGGCGGGCAGCGCCGCCCTTGCGGGGTCAGTGCACTCGGTAGTGGCCGCCTGGACTCCACGTCCAGGCAGAACATAACCTGCTCCTCGAACGCGTGTCCCCAGGGCCCCCCGCGCCTCCTCACTAGCTGACCAGACACGGGTCCTCGCCGCCGGGCTTGACCTCGCCCGCCAGCAGCAGGTTCATCACCACCTTGGTCAGGTAGCTGCAGGTCCCGCGCCGGCCCAGCGGGGGCGTGTTGTAAAAGGAAGTCATGTCGTCCTGGGAAGGAAAAGGGAGGTGCGTTTGATTTTCTGCCTGGTGAAGAGTTGACGGGGCCAGCTGGCGTAGCTCAGTGGCTGAGTGTTGACTTCCGCACCAGGAGGTCCTAAGTGCCCTGACGGGGTTGCGGGCTCGGCCCCCAGTGCGGGGCGTGCAGGAGGCAGCCAACCCATGACTCTCTCTCATCATTGATGTCTCTCTCTCTCCCTCTCCCTTCCTCTCTGACAGGTGAAATGAGTGCCAGCCCCGGGAAGGTAATTCTCAGGATTCCCTCCTGGAAGACGCGCTAAGAGCTTCCCTTTCCCGGTCCTGAGGCGTCTTCTCAGCGAACAAAACAAGACGGACATTTTCCGATTCTCCTCTCGGCTGACAATGCTTGTTTACTTAGGCCTCCTGACAGCTGGGCATGAATGTGACAGCCTGTAGGGGGCGCGCACGGCGCCCGCAGAGCCTGGCCCGCACCCCTCCCTGCAGGGTGGAATCCTGCAGCCTCCTGGGGCCGGGCTCCTCTGTAAAGCACACTGGACCTGCTGCCTCCGAACAGGAAATTCACCTCTTCCCACGTTTCTTTCTACAGAACTTCATGGTGGAATTGACTCATAATTAAATAAAAAGTAGCCTGAATTCCTCAGGTAAGTCAGACCTCCTGCCCCTCCCCACCCCGAGTTCTCCCTTGTGCCATCTGGGAATCTGCCGGTTACACGGTAAGAGGCTGGGATAGTTTGAAGAATTGAGGCAGGAAAAAAAATCTACGAAAAGCTATTTTCTCTACTCACTTGATTTTCAACGCCCTTGAGTTGACTCTCGTCTTTCTGAAATTCCTGAAACGCTTCTTTCACCAGTTTGTCCAGGTCAACTTTGTCCTGAAACTCGAGCTCGGGGTTCCTTTCCAGGACAACGGACACGACCATCAGCAGCTGGGAGAGACGACATTGAGGCCAGGTGAGTGGCCGGAGGTGGCACAGGCTGGCAGGTTCACCCCTTCCCAGCCAGGCCGGCCCTGCGGTCCCCAGTGCGCCCTGTACAGCGATGGGCTTAGGCTCGTTGTGGCTGGAACCTTCGGAACCTTGCAAATCAGCAGCCTGCGTTCTACTGGGAATGACAGTGCTCTTCACTGTGGGTCCCTGTGGCCGTGCTGAGATGTTCAGTCGTTAAGAAAAGCTAGAGACTCGGAGAATGGCTGTCCCACCCTGTCTACAGTTAGTGCCCAACACACACACACCCTCCCCCCACCCTGTGTCTGCACTCTCCTGGCCGCTGGGCAGTAATCCTTGTCGGCCAGACACCAACATCAGCGTCTGCGGGAGGCTCCCAGAGGACGTGGCAGGCAACAAAGCCAGAGGCAGCGGGTAAGTCCGTGGAGAATGTGGATGGAGGCTCACGATCACGTGACTCTCAGCCCAGCACCCAAATGAGTATATTTTTATTTTTTTTAATATATTTTATTGATTTTCCCAAGAGTTAGAAACATCCATGAGACAGAAACATCGATCAGCTGCCTCCTGCACACCCCCTACTAGGGATGTGCCCGCAACCAAGGTACATGCCCTTGACCGGAATCGAACCTGGGACCCTTCAGTCCGCAGGCCGACGCTCTATCCACTGAGCCAAACGGGTCAGGGCCCAAATGAGTATAAATCCGTGACCCCACAGCAGCTTCTCCGGGGACTGTCATGTTGTTAAAAATGCACTCTCTCCCTCTCCCTTCCTCTCTGAAATTAATAAAAACATATTTTAAAAAACAGAAAAGGTGCGCGCTCTCCATGATGCACTTGCTGTTGAGGGCGAGAGCGCGCTGACAAAGCTGGACATTCTTCTGCCCAAGGACGTGGGACGTGGGAATTGTTCCTATGCCTCGGCTCGGGTCAGAGGTCAGGGCCCTGTCCTCTTCAGGACCCAGTGGGGGGCGGGGGTGGGGGCCAGGCAGGTGGGAAGCTCTGGTCTCCTGGCCCATCTCTGCCCGGTTTTCAGGGAGAAAGAGAAAGCGCCCGCCAGCAGGCCACGCGCCCACGCACCTCCACGATGATCTGCCGGTACTTGGGCTGGTCGATGTTGCCCAGCATGTCTTCCACGAGGAGCGAGAAGTTCATCTCGTACATGGTCATGTCCGACAGGGTCGGTTGCTAGAACAGAGAGCCCAGCGTCACCGCTGCGTGGGGGGGGGGACCTGGCTCCACCAGGAGGAGCTCCACTCGCTCCCCAAGAACCCCTTTCGGTCTCTACAAACCCCGAGAGCCTCCCAGCTCTAGGGCTCGATCTCATGTCGAACTGCGAACCCCGCCGGCGCTGTGAGAACTAACCTCCCGTTTTCAGGAGCCATCGTCACCTCAGCAGTGTGTTTAGGGGAAGGGACTAGACTAGGAAACCACGTCGGCCCACGAGGGGACAGTCAGGAGCCGAGACGGCGCGTGGAGTGCACGCCAGGCGTTCTGCTCAGCCATGGGCTGAACCGCATACAGAACACGGTGACGGGCCTTAGAACATGGAATGCGCGGCCGACGCCGGCAGACACCACGTCAGTCCTCGCCGTGGAGTTTACCTCATCTCTGCGGCGAGTCCTGTCTGACCCGGCGCGTAAAAATGCACCAAATCAGCAAGGACAGCGCTGTGTGCGGGGAAGGCAAGCCACACAGAAACAAGCAAAACGAAAGGGTTGTCTCTGCCCTTCACGTGTCATTTATAGAGAGGATTGCCTATGTGCCGGGCACTTTTCACAAGCAACTGAGAGCAGGAAGTGAGCTGGGCCTGGGCGGAAGGGGCTCTGAGTGTGGCTCCGCGAGTGGGGGCAGGCGGAGTCCCCGGCATCCCTGGCAGGCAGAGGGCAAGTCACACTTTCCTACTTACTTCCTGCGAACGCCCCTCAGCCTCACCACTATGCGCATCACTCACTCCCCAGGGGGCCCGCGGGAACGCCCCCTGTCAGTGGAAGGACAGCACACTGCCTGCCTGTGCCAGGCCCGCCCTGCATTCCGTGTGGCCCGGCCCGTTGGCAGGGCAGCCCCACATGCCACTACTGCCCCATTTCTAAGCGTGCTTAAAGGGGGCGGGGCGTCGATGTGAGGGAGGAAATACTAGAAAAGCCTTCTCGTCGCACTGGACGCATTTTTCCACCTGAGCCCCTTTCCCTTTTCGCCTTCGGTGCCCTCTACAGAAGCCTGGCTCTACCGAGTGGCTGTTTGCTGGAAGGTTGTCCTTCCCAGCGCCTCCTCGCACTGGACGCATTTTCCCACCTGAGTCCCTTTCCCTTTTCGCCTTCGGTGCCCGAGTGGCTGTTTGCTGGAAGGTTGTCCTTCCCAGCGTCACTCTCCCCCTGCCCCAGGGGAGCTCCGAGGACCTGGGACACCCGGAAAGGCGCTGCCATGCAGAGGGTGCACGGGCCCGGCTCAGGCCCCTTCACAGCCCCTCACCAACGGCCACGCGGCGGTACCTGTGGCAGGTGCTTCCCCGCAACAATGATGCCGTTGGGCGTGCGCTCTAGGATCTGCCACACGCGGTCGTAGAACCCGGCGGGCGTTCTGTTCAGAGACCCGTTGATCTGACGCCTGTTCAGCCAAGATCTGCAACCAGAGGAGAAGGCCTCAGAGCGGAGACGCCAGCGCGCCCTGGCAGGAAGCCCGGTCCAGCATGGACCAGCCCTCCGAGAGGGGAGCGATGGGAGCCGACCGCCCGGGATGCAGACTCCAGCCCGTGTTCGAGGTGACTGAATATTTCAGAGGGAAAAGCTCGCAGGAAAGGAGAAAATCCCCAGACTTTAAGAAATGTTACAAACAGAACAGTATTCACTAGCAAGTTCCAAAGTTAAAAATCTCACCCTGTGACCACATGACTCTAATATCCAAAGCAGTTTCACTTAAAAACACAGGAGCAGTTTTAATAATCATAGGAAAGCCTTTGTTATAAAAATGTTCAATTCAGTGCAATCACGAGTGTCCGCTTTGCCCTTATTCTAAGCTCCGCACAAGTCAAGTCTATGGACGGGTTCAGCCTGGTACAGGAGCAGCTTTAATAATCATAGGAAAGCCTTTTGTTATAAAAATGTTCTTCAATTCAGTGCAATCACGTGTTCGCTTTGCCCTTATTCTAACCTCCGCACAAGTCAAGTCTATGGACGGGTTCAGCCTGGAGAGGTGCTCCGTCTACTTAGGGAGGCAGAGAACGGCCACCTGCTCCACGTCACCCAACCAGGCCTTCGGGCCAGTGCGGGGGGCGGGGGGAGCGCTGCAAAGGCTCAGAAAGGGATGACGAGGGGGGAAGGAGGCACTATGTTCTGCACAGAATAATGAAAATGAAGGCGCGTTCATGAACTACACCTGAAAAGTGTCTCAATTCAAATCAGCACCAAATGGCGGCTGAAGACAGTTTGATTCGCATCTCTGCCCTGTCCCTGCGACTGCGCTGTTTTACTTCTTATCGGCATCTTCGTTCACACGCGCATCAAACATGAGTGACTGTGGACCAGGGGGCCTGCGGGGAGCCCAGGGCCTCGTTACCGTCCGTTCTGCTGCGGCTGGAGAATGTCCATGAGGAGCTGTTTGACGGCGCTGGGCGACAGCTGGTACAGGTCCACGGCGGGCTGGTCCCCGGCCCGGATCTGCAGCTCGTACTCCATGGCGTGGATGATCCACCTGCGACAACACAGGGAAGAGCGGATCCATAACCAGGACCAGTTGCCCGGGCTTCTGGCTCAGTGCCCTTCTCAGCACCGCCCACCCGGGGCGGGGACGAGGCCTCTCAACTTCCTGAGCCCAGAGACCGACTCCCATCAGGGTTATGTGACGGGATCTGACCATCAGGGTTACGTGACGGGGTCTGACCGTGGAACGCGCGGCCTGTGCTTGCAGACGAGGTCAGGCAGTAAACGTGAAAACTGGTTAGAACTCGGGATCTTGCCAAATGAGATCCCATCCACCGGGCACGACAGGACACCACATGAACAGCTGTCACACTGTCCTTATTTATTTATTTATTATGTTTTTATGGATTTCAGAGAGGAAGGGAGAGAGGGATAGAAACATCAGTGATGAGAGCGTCATGGACCGGCTGCCTCCTGCACGCCCCACACTGGGGATGGAGCCTGCCACCCGGGCCTGTGCCCTGACCCGAAATCAAACCCTGACCTCCTGGTTCATGGGTTGACGCTCAACCACTGAGCCCCGCCGGCTGGGGCTGAGCAGCTTTTCTAAGTGTGTTTACAGTTTTATCTCATTTTGTTCACTTACCGTATCCTGAGGAAAGAACTGAGATAAACTAGGTTTGCAAACCAAGGAAAAGTCTGGAAAGAACACAGCGCCCGAGGGAAGCAGCTGCACACACCATTAGGGAGAGGCAGGGAATGAGCTTCGCCAGCGGGTCCTGTGCGTTACCCCGGGGAGCCACGCCCAGGACAGCCCCCATCACCAGGGAGGGGTTCCTACACCCAAGTGCCATTACTTCCTGTTGAAACACATCCCAGAAAGCTAGCTCCCACGCTGTCATAGGTGTGGAGAGGAAAGCATGGGGGGAAGGACCCCAAGGTTCAAGTCCTTCTTTCTGCCACGGCTGGTTTCAGAGCAACGGGGTGCGTCCTCCCGGGTGGCGCTAGTTCTCTCGGGGGAAGGGACGGTCAGAAGACGGTCACCCTCCCCCGCCGGCCGGGGACATGGACCCGGCGCACAGCCCTTCCTGTCCGAAGACCCAGGGATACGCTCGGCTCGCTGACAAGCAGCTGGGAAAGCGGCAGATGCGCTGGGCTGACAGCTCAGCCTTCCTAAGGCTCGGGTTTGACTGGGGGACAAGGACTCCCGGGCACGCGGAGGGGGTGGGAGGGGACCCGCTCCTGGACGGGCCTGGGATGAGCTTTTCCTCCCAAACACTCTCGCGGGAGGCTGGGAAGCACGTTGTGTGCACCGGCAAGTTCCTTTCCCACGGGCCCAGTCAAGCAGGGGAACGTGATGTGCATGGACTCGGACGTCACTCTAAACCAGGAAGGCTGGCACTTTCTGAACAGAGGAAATGCCACCAGAATGCACCGGTTCTCCCCAGAGGCGCTGCTCAGTGGTTGAGCGTCCACCTAGGAACCAGGAGGTCACGGTTGGATTCCCGGTCAGGGCACAGGCCCGGGTTGGGTGTTCACCCCCCAATGTGGGGCGTGCAGGAGGCAGCCGATCCATGATTCTCATCGTTGATGTTTCTATCTCTCTCTCCCTCTCCCTTCCTCTCTGAAATCAATAAAAATATTTTTTAAAAGAACGTACTGATTCATAATAAGAAACCATTTTTAATAACCACTCTGAAGCTATTTTGAGATGCTAAGAAGAATTCGCCCAGGTTGCTATTAAGCGAATGGGCGTCTGCACGCCCACACCAGGCCAGCCCATAGGGGGCGGCGGGCTGCAGAGGGGACCGGTGCCTGATCCAGACGGGCACAGGGAGGGTGGTCTCCCTCCTTCTCTCGCATCGAATGTCAAGGCCTGTGAGGGCATCAGCCACGCTAATGACCTCAGAGCCGTGTCCTCCCCTCCTCCCTGGGCTGTGTGTTCACAGAGGTAGCGGGGCATCGGGAGGGACCGTGCCTGGACCGTCACTGTGTGGAGGGTGTACAGGCAGGTGAGCGGGGTGGTGCAGGCTGACAGCACATCCTCGGGCTCTCCCAGGCGCTGGCTGACAGGCCTGGCGCAGAGCCCGCCTCGCAGGCCTTACAGTAATGGGCCTGTCAGCGCTTGATCGACCTCAACGTGAGAGCCGAGCGCAAATCAATACACGACAGCAAATCAAATCCTTACCCGACCAGCAACCGTCCGGCGAGCGGGTTCACTGCTGGCCGGGGCCTGACGGCAGCCTCGCCGAGGACCCGCCCCGCGGGACTGACCTTGGAGAGAGGAGGGCGGCGATGAGGCCGCGGGCACGGCGGCGCGACTCACCCCACGCGGATCTTGAGCATGCCGCTGAACAGCTCGGGGCTGTTGGCGATGGCCCAGCCCACGTGGATGACCAGCTCCTGCTGGATGACCGCCGCCCGCTCGTCGTGGGTGTTGCACTTGTAGATGATGTCCTTGATCACCCGCGGGGACAGCGGGTTGGAGATCACCTCCTCCTCGTGCCCGAAGGCGCCCAGCGTGACCTGGGAGAGGCGGAGCTGGTGAGCCATCTGCTCGCTGCCCGAGCGACCAGAAAAGCCCAGGCGAGGGCGCGGGCAGGCTGCAGGGCTCGCGCAGCCGGGGGCAGGGGGTGGCTGCTCCTGCCTTGATGAAAACGGCTTTGAAAGCATGATTCCCACCGGGCCCGGGTGCATCTGGACTGAAAGCGGAGGGCAGGGAAAGGGGCGGGGTGGGGGGGGAGCGGATAGGGCGGGAGGAATATAAATGACTGTTAAGATGGAATTGCTCTGAAGGACTGGAGCCCAGCAGGGCCCCGGAGGAACCAGAGTGCACTGAGCGGCGTCTTTCCGCACAGTCCACACACTTAGCGTCTGAGGGATGTCCTCCCTTCTCTCCCCGTTTCCCGTGGGACTTTTTAACGACACTGTCGCCCTTTCAAGGGTCAGGGGAGGTCGCCCAGTGAATTCTAAATGCTGGCTGCTCTCTCACCCGCAGAGGCCTCCCCACGGCCTCCCACAGGCGGAAACAAGAAAGCACAGAGGGTGGTGACGAACACTCAAAGCAGGGAGTGCTGCTGAGCAGGGCCCTGTGTCTGCAGGGGTGAGGGGAGAGCACAGCAGGGCCCTGTGTCTGCAGGGGTGAGGGGAGAGCACAGCAGGGCCCTGTGTCTGCAGGGGTGAGGGGAGAGCACAGCAGGGGCCTGTGTCTGCAGGGGTGAGGGGAGAGCACAGCAGGGCCCTGTGTCTGCAGGGGTGAGGGGAGAGCACAGCAGGGCCCTGGGTCTGCAGGGGTGAGGGGAGACGGCAGAGCATGGGGCCTTTTGCCCCAGTTTTGTGGTGGATAGAAACTGAGAACTTCTGATTAGTCCAGGTGCGATACGTTTACTAAGATGCCAGCGAGTAAAGAAAACACACAGAAGGCACACGGGGGCCTCCAGAGGCAATGACGACTGAACCCCAATCCATGCAGCGACCTCAAAGTTCTCCAAAACCTTCTCAGATGCGGAGAGATTAACTCTGCTCCCAGGTAAGGACAGGGAGAAGCGTCCCAGCCTGTGCACGCCCTTCGGGGTGGAAGTTCTACCTCTCAGCAACGTGAGAAAGCGAAAGAGTAACATGAGAAAGGTGATCCAACTTCTCTTCAGGCGTTTCCTTATTACTGTGATCTTTTTTAAAATTGATTTTATAGAGAGAGAAAGGAGAGGGAGAGAGAACCATCGATGTGAGAGAGACACATGGACCAGCTGCCTCCCGTACGCGCCTGACTGCGATCAAACCCACAGCCCGGCATGTGCCCCGACCAGGAACCGAACCCACAGCTTTTTTGGTGCCTGAGACGATGCTCAACCAGCCGAGCACCCGTCCGGCTGCAGCCACTTTGTTACTGTTACTAACGTCACCGGATAAATAAATAACTTGCTCTCGCGCTTCAGAGCTGCCATAGGGGTGGAATCACGTCAGTTATGAGGAGCTGAGCCCTGCGTACGAGCAGCCGGTTGATTTCATTGAAGAGTTAAAGCCCTTCCTAACTTTAAGGCTCACCGGGGCCCCGGTTAACTTCCAGGAAACGACAATAAAGCACAATATTCCCCAAGAAGAGAAAGAAGCAAACAGGCGTTCACTCGGCCGGGCAGTCAGAGCGCAGGAGCACAGCCAGAAGCTGAGCAGCCACCCCTCCTAAGCGCACGCCCGGCTCCATGCAGCCGCGGCACCAGTGCCCATCGCGCCGGCCAGGCGGGCACACTGCACAGTGCACAGCCCTGCAAGCTGCAGTGAGCGCCATGCTTCCGTGAACTGGGGTCCAGAGCAGCCTGTGAGGGTCACCGGCCCACCAGGAGGACCCAGAGCAGATCTAACCAGAGCTGGCGGGGGGGGGGGGGGGAGGGCGCCCCGAGGGCACAGGGCCTGGGAGTCAGTGTACCCCGAGGGGAGAGAATCGCACGTGAGGGGAGGGAGGCCTGCGCTGTGCACCTGTCTCTGCCCACCTGTCCTGCCCTGCGCTAGACCTGCCTTCAGCAGGTGCCCCGCGTTCTGTGTCGGCGTCGTCCCTGACCTCGAGTTCCCACAGGGCAGCAGGAGCAGAGAGGCGACTACCTTTGGTGCCGGCCTCTCTGAGGCGAGATGCTGGGGAAGACCCCTCTGTGCACGCACCTGAGATTCTGACAACGCGGCTACGAAGGCCAAGGACCCGAGGGCGCCAGATTTGAAAGCAGGGTCCCCCCAGGACACTTACCTGCTTGCCCTGCACTAACACATTAGTAATGGACGGGGCCAGGCTGTCCACTACTTTACTTAAAAGGCTCGCTGCGTGGCGCACCACCGACCTGGGGGCGAGAAGAGAGCAGCCAGAGGGTCACAAGCTGGTGACGCGTGCCGGGGCCCGCGAGGGGGACACAGACCTATGCACTGCCAGGGCTTCGCCATGGCCTGCGGGGCCCGCGAGGGGGACACAGACCTATGCACAGCCAGGGCCTCGCCATGGCCTGCGGGGACACTGAGCCCACCACACTGGGCCCAGCCGCTGACTGTCATCGGTACCG